AATCGATCAGATATAAAATCGAACTGAACCATGGTCCAGTCCTAATCCTACGAGAGGACCGTTCAACATTAGAATCGGTTCTAGACCAATGTATTTTAATACAGAATCGATGAACCAAACTTGATTAATTCACTTGTTTTCTGTAAGGTAGTGTTTGATAGCCATTGAATTCCATGGAAATGAAATTTTAATTCCATCTTTCATTTTAACCTTGTTTGGTACCTTTTTTTTTTATTACGTAGAATTGAATTTTCATTTTTGGTGCCACATAAGCCATTTTCCATGAATTCAAATTGTAAGAATTGCAATTCTCGGTTACTGTAGCATTTTTTTTTTCAATTTTTTTTTTGGGCGATGAAAACAAATTCTAAGAATTATTTTAAAATTTTTTTTTGTTTAATTGATAATTTTCATATAAAACAAGATCAAATGAACACTAAAAGATAGATGATTTTTTTGATTTTTATTTTGTTTTGGCAATGAGAACAAATTTCATCTCCAATACCAATAAATTCTATCCCTTTAATTGATAATTTTCATATAAAATAAAGTTAAGCGAACACCAAAAAATACTTTTATTTCAACATTTTCCACGTGAAAAATTATATCAATCAAATATAATAATTTACAATTCCAAAAAAAAAAAAATTTCTAAACAATTCAATTCCATGAAATTCGTTTTCTAGGCAATTCAATTTTATTTTTACAATCAAACGAACCCTAAATTTCCAGAATTTAATGGTCTTGGGAATTGATCCTGTTTTCCTTTGGACACTATATTTTATGATTGAATACATCTGCCAGACTCGATTGTTTGATCTCCATTTGTTACAAATTTGTATATTCTCAAACTTATTTTCTATCACATTCTTCTAATAAAATAATTTATTTGTAATTTTTTTTTCTAGTTTCTAACCATATATTCTTTAAAAATTACTATAACAAAACTTTTTATTTCTCCATAAAATGGGGCTCAAACACACCCTAAATAGGCGATACTACAATATATAACCCTTATTTTCAAGAATTTCAACTCTAAGTTCTATTATAATAAATTTAAATGTATTTATGATAGCAACAATACTTAAAAAAATTGTCTTTGATTATTTTTGTGAAGGACAATAAACTATTTAAGACTTTTTTATTATATATATATATATATATATATATATATATATTTAAAAGTACATAATTCATTAGAAAAGTATAATCAATTATTTTTTGAATTTCAATGAAATGTAGTCACGACTCTAAACCCTTTAAAGCTTTGCAAATTTTACCTTAACCTTTAATTTGTTGCAACCATGATTCCAAATCTTTTAAGTGTATGCAATTGAAGGACAAATGAATGGAATCCACTAATTTTTTCGTTAGTTGACCGAAAAAATATGTTTGACCACATTTTAAACAATTTTGAAGATGATAAAATAGCAAGTTTATATTTACCTCAAATTGATGGATTTTACAGGTTGTTGGTTGTGTTTGTGGGAGTAGTGTAGGGTCGGGGTGGGCTGTTGGAGAAGAAGGTTCCATTTTTCATTTTTTGATTTAATTATTTTTACTTTTTTATTTGGTAATCATAAAATTATTATTTTGTCATTTTTGAAATTGTTTAAAAATATGATCAAACTTAATTTTCTGGTCAACTAATGGAAATATGGTTGAGTTCCATCTATTTATCCTTTAGTTGTTAGGGATAGTAAAAAAATCCGTTTCGAATGGGGCAAAAAAACTTATCCTGAAGGAGTTGGCAGCGTAGGGCGACGATGCAACCGCCCGTTAAAGGAAAAAAGGTAAACGATTAAAAGTAATTTTATTTGTAGACAATTCACTAGTTAAAAATTCATTTTAAATTTGTATTTTATTATATAATAATAACATAATTCAAAGTATTGAAAATGTAAAAAAAATAAAAAAAATTAAACGAGGTAACAAATGTGGCAAAAAGTTGCCCCGTCTCTGCCCTACCGCCTTAGATGGAGCGGGACCCCGAACTCACCCTATTGCCATCACTATTAGTCGCTTCCACTTGAAAGATTTGGAACCTTAGGTGAAATAAATAAAAGACTAAGGTAAAATCTACAAAACTTTGAAAGATTCGGGGCCGTGACTGCAATTATCACAATCTATCTTAGGGGTGGGCGCGGGTCGGTTCGGTTCGGTTCGGTTCTCTTTAGAACCGAACCGAACCAAACTTTTCGGGTCTCTAGTAAATGGAACCGTCGGGTCCAAATATAATTATGGAACCGTTCGGGTTCGGTTCCATTCGGTTCGGTTCGGATCGGTTCGGTTCCGTTCGGTTCTGTACTATAATTAAATTTTTTAACATTTATAACAACGTTATATAAATACGACTAATGATACATTCAATAGTTTTGGAATGTCAGAGATTAGTAAACTATTTTGTTCAAATAATCGCTACGATCAAAGTTTCAGTCGGGGAAAGTCACGGCTTCGATCGGAGGTCAGAGTGTCGGCCGACGATTGTATAGGTTTTGGAATATTAGATAGGCTGCGAGAGTCGAGACAACGTTATGCACTTTATTGTAGGTGTTTAGGATTATTTAGTATATTTGATCTTGTTTGGCTAAGAAATGAAATAATAAAATGAGTAATTGGGCCAAAAATTAAAAAATTAGAAATGAAACAAATTATTGGGCCAAAAATTTGGATTTAGAAATCATTAATTTGTTAATTTGTTTAGAAAAAATTAAAATTAAAATAATTTGATTTAATCAATATAAAAAAAAAGAAAGATTCGGTTCTTATTCGGTTCTTGGTCTAGAACCGAGAACCGAATCGTACCCGTCGGTTCTCAATTCAGATACCCGTTCGGGTATTTAATTTGACAAGAACTGTCGGGTTCGGATCGGTTCGGTTCGGTCTGTTCGGTTCGGGAGATTTGCCCAGCCCTAATCTATCTATCCACTCAGCGATCGACTCTGCGACCCAATGGTTCTAATCGGGTCAATATCCGGGTCCAATAAACTCCTTCAAATTCATGAATTGATACATCATCCGGTTCGGGTCAGGCTCTGGCGTGGCGGTAATCCCCCATATAAAAACAAACACACGACAGCTTGTTGTATTTCTGATCAAACTCAGATCGGACTCTTTCTCTCGTAAGCACACCTCGCTTCTCTCTCTATGAATTTATACAAGTGTGCACATCTATAATTTTTAGGTTTCTATATTTAATTTATTGTTAGATTGTAGGTATTTGAACTGCGATTATTTCTAGGGTTTTTATTAGGCATTGTAAAACAATATATTTTTCTAGATTCTCTTTGATTGTGAATGATTGAGGAATAGCTGAGCAATTTGCCTATGTTTTTGCTCGATATTTACTTGAATATTGGTCGTGCCTGGGAAACTGATGTTTTCCATTGCACTTTTTTTGATAGCTTACAATTGAACCTTGGGTGATTCTGTAGTGGTGAACTTGCAAATTCTGTTGATTGAATAGCTTTTTTTTCCTAATTTATGTAGCATTGTAATGATATTCACTGCAGTTATATTTGTTTTTGGAAGTTTTGCTATCATTCAGAAACAAGATAATACACATGTGCGTGTTAGGTAGAAGATTCTCCCTCTCCCTGTTAGTGCTGTGTTGAAGGCGAATGAGTTGCCTGTAGAGGGTGTATTTTTTGGGGAAAGCACATATAGGCCTGTTCAAGCTTTCATAAACCTTTCCCAGTCATAGTGGGGGAATTATTGCTAAGAGCATGGTTTGTATGATTTAAGCTCTTTTTCAAGTCGAGGGCAGGTTCAAGAATGCCCATATGATTGACCAGTTTTACTAGAGTGTTCGCTGTCATCTGACAATTGTGTTTTCCAAAATGGTTGGCATAACGCCCTGCTACTTCTGTTCACATTACACGACTAATTTACTGATTTTTGTCATTTTTTCCATTTGGGATGTATTCACCATAAGAAGTGATCTTCATGTTTGAAAATTGTTTTTTGCTAACTTGTGTCAGCTCGGACGGGGTGTTAGCTGGAAATGCCTATTGTTTGGGCCTTTATTTTCAAAGGGGGATTTGGTTAATTATGCTTCAGACCCTTGTTCTTTTACTATTTTACACATCATTAGAAAGTATTCTTACTTGACATTATACACTATACTATCGCATTTTAAGATATCTTTTCTCCTCCTTGCTTCCACTTTATATTTTATGGTCGCATGTTAAGGTTTGTGTACTTCCTAACTATTATACTTCTCCTAATCATTGTCTAAAAACCGCTTGAGGATTATGTCTTGAAGTGCCTCACCTAAGGCTGTCATCAAGCGTCTCGAAGCTTATCATTGAGTCCCATTTGTTAAGTCACATGCTTCAAGGCAATAGCCTTTGGGCTGTGACAGAATACTTTCGATTGTGTTGCCCTTACTGGGCTTTTTGTTATTGGATTTAGTGTTTTGGAATTTTCTAATAACCTAGAATTTTTAAGGATTTGAGGCTTTGTTATCACAATCCAACCCTACAAACTAGAAAAAAGAATTAGGAAATAGAAAAGAGAGTAAGTGAAGCAAACATTCCCTAGTTTTCTACAATTAATATGTGATAAAACCTTTTTCCAAGTGAATTTGCAAATTTTAAATGGCAAATCAGCAATGACGAGGTTTATGCCATATTTCTTTTATATTTTCTTCTCATTGTCTCTATGGTGTTGAATTCTTCTTTTTTCCTGAAGGGGACGATTGCAAGTGGAGCATGGTGATGAAAAGAATGAGAAGGAACTAACAGTGATGAGGAGGATGATTTTCTTGAAGATCCTAGTAGTCAATGATATAGAGGATCTTTAGGCATTTTTAGTCTTAGTAGGAACTAAGAGTGATGAGGAGGGGGGTTTTCTTGAAGATCTCAGCAGTCGATGATGCAGAGGATCTTTAGGCATTTCTAGTCTAAGTAGTAGTTTACTAACTTTCGGTTCATGGTTTATTATGAGCACCTTTTTTTTTTTTTTTTGATTTATATTAAATTTTAATGATTTGTGTTGAGGCATTGCCTTGCCCCAGAGGGGTAAGTCGCCTCCATACCAACTATGTTGGGCGTTTTAAACATGGTTCTTAGTCTTAAACTTTGATTGAATTTATCCACCCCCACCCTCACCATGGAAAATATAGTGCCAAGAGTGTGGTTTGCGCTTATGCCAAGTGTTTTAGTTTGTTTGTTTGTTTTCTTAACCCCAAATTCCACTTTTTAGCATCTGTAGGAAGGTTAGCTTTGCTTCCATGCTCATGAAATGTTATCTTGATGATATGTGAAGTGCCTCGTTGATCTATCAGGAGAGATGCAAAACATCAAAGTAACAATGGTAGTAGTTTCAATAGATAATTTCTGTTTTTCATGAAAAATTTAATTCTTGTCAGGTAATTAAGCCACTGTTTGTTTGGAGAAAATGTATTTTTGAATAGTGATTTTTTTGGAGAAGGTGTGGTTAAAAAATAAGGAAAAGTTTTGAATTTACATATAATATTATATTATTGGCAAATGTGTGGTTGAAAATAAGAGAGAGAGAGAGAGAGAGAGAGAGAGATGCATTTTTGAAATAATGGAGCCCAAACAAGGGCTAAGTGTTTTCAGTAAGCTGACTGAGACTTCATCAAATAAAAATAATTATATTTTTATTTTATTTCTGTTCACCAAAATATATTGCTTGCAACATACTCAGATCTCTGCTGTAATTTTAGTTTTTCCAAGGTGATTTCTGTTTATGGACCATCTTCATTACATATGTTTCCTGTCTAGTTCTAGTTCACAATATTGATGCGAAAAAAGGTTGGGGGGGGGGGTGATGGAAGAGGGAGAAATTTGATATCTAGACTTCTGTGTTTATGGCTGGACCCTGACTGATGAGTTGTATTGTTAGATTCAGTATAATCATAGGAACTTTATCTTGTGGAATCTCCTGCTAATGACATGTTTGGTTTCTCTATTTCTCTAGTAATATAAGTTTGCCTGTCATAATTTATTTTATGCAGTTGATAACCTTTGCAGCTATTGCTGAACGGGTGAGCCTGGGGTTGATTCTTCCATATATATAAGAGTTCAACTTTTGAAGATAAATATGCAGCCAGTTGTACAACCCAGATCTTCCAATGGATATGGCCGTCGTAAAAGTGAAAGAGATATTGCAACAAAGTTTGATAGTAAGCTCCAGGCTGGGAAAACAAATTCTAGCAGGTTCACCAACGCAGGTAAGAGTTCGTCAATCAATACTGTTCATAAAGTTCCATTGTCAGTTTTTGTTAACTTATTAAATATCAGGTAAAGGAGGTGGACTTGATTCACCTTCACGTGATCGAATGATATATTTAACTACATGCCTAATTGGACATCAAGTAGAAGTCCAGGTGTCGGATGGATCTGTATTTTCTGGAATATTTCATGCTACAAATGCTGACAAGGATTTTGGTGCGTCCAGATATAGTTGCTCAACTTTAATAAGAAGAGTACATTATGGCTGATTAAATCTGCTTAAAATCCCCCATTAAATAAATATAAATGTCTTTTGACATTTGCTTTCTTGCTCTTGGTGCAGGGATTGTTCTGAAAATGGCACACTTAATAAAAGATGGTTCTCAAGGGCAGAAGAATATTTTTGATTCTGTTAATAAAACATGTTCAAGGACTTTGATCATATCGACTAAGGAGCTGGTGCAAGTGATAGCGAAGGTTCAATGTGTTCTCCATTATTTATTACCTTACTAAATATAACTAAATCTTACATAACAAAATGATACTGTTTATTGGAATACCTCCAAGTTGTCAACCTCAAATTAGATGGTGTTAGTCATTTCACCCTTACGCGTGACCTTTATTTTGTCAATTATGCACGGTGCGCGATAGTGTCTTTTCATGGTTGATGTGTCATTGAAGGTTATAGGGTAAAGTGATTTTGTTGTTAACTGGAACAGGGTGTGCCTGTAACTAGGGATGGGTTAACAAATGAGCTACAACATGACGAGCAGCAGGAGCTTATGACAGATTCCTGCATATCACAGTCCCGGCACGTTGACCTGGGCAGAGAATTGGAGCCCTGGGTCCCCGATGCAGATGATCCTGGATGTCCTGAATTGGAGAATATATTTGATGGCCCTTGGAATAGGTTGTTGAATGACTCTCTTTGACTTTTGGATAAAAGTATTTTATCTCTTTAAATTTGTAACTAGATAGAATAACTCCTGAAACTCCTTTTTCGCTTAACTTTTTCAAATACAATTTATCCGTGTGATGGTTTCCAACACGAGTGCCTTTTACCACAATTACAGATCAAGAAGTTAGACACTAGTTGTAGCAGAAACCTTTCAAAATCAAAGAGAAGTTCACACATTCCATTTAATTGTTGATATTGCTGTTTTTGCTTCTCCTCTCGTAAATATATTTTTTCAAGAACCTATGAACTATAAATCATCGAAGACATGGTTTCATCAGGGTGTCCTCTTTTTTCTTGTGCTGTTTTCACTGATGCAATGTTTGTTTTATCTGTCCGTCAGAGGCTGGGATCAGTTTGAAGCAAATGAAACCTTATTTGGAGTGAAAAGCACCTTCAATGAGGAATTTTACACGACAAAGCTTGAGAAAGGCCCTCAGATGAGAGACTTGGAAAGAGAAGCCAAAAGAATAGCTAGAGAGATTGAGGGTGAGGATACCCATGATCTCCATCTAGCAGAGGTTAGATTGAAACCCTGTTAGATTTTTACAATAATTTGGCTTTTCTCTCTGTTTCTGTTGACCTATTTTTTTCTTCGTTGATATCAAACACATTTCTTCAATAGGAAAGAGGTATTCAGCTGACTGGAAATCTGGAAATTGACGAGGAAACCAGATTCTCATCAGTCTATAGGGAAGTTGATGACAGTGGGTATGATGAGATTGAGGACATATTGTTGAATTCTCGAAATGATGAAACATTCGGAGATGTCTCTGGTTCTGTCACCGGCAAACCTTTCACAGACTTGGACACTGGGAAAATCAATTGTGAAGCTCAAATTTCTTCTAGACCTTTGATGGTAATTAAAAGCTTTAAAGTTTACTTTTTCTGTATTGCCTGCCTCTCTTCATATGTGGTAGTGGACCTTTTTCTTTAATCATTCTATGTTTCTAGATCTTTGGCTCTTCTGTGTTTACTTGCACTATAATTTTTCTACTTCTGGTATTCATGTTTTCATCATATCTTCTGTGGCCAACCGTAGTTCCCTGCATCTCCCTGCGTCTAATGAGAAAATGGAAAAGCCGTAAAGAGTAAGAGAGAGAGAGGGACAGCCTGTGATATACACAATTGATCCTGCAAAATGGGAATTTAGAGCCTGCATCTATTTGTGAATATGTTGAGGTTTAGAAAAATTATACTCTTTTACACCAAACTGTTCTGCAATCTTACTTACTTTTTCAGAGTACATGATCTCCCTCCTTTGACTCCTCCGTTCTCCTCCTTTCTTCCCATCCACCTTGTCAAAAGGGAATAAAGCGTCTCCTCAGATAGTTGGCTACAGATTTTCCGTCTCGCTTGCAACGACAAGCATGTGCTTGATTTTTGGGTTTGAAACTTTTTATTTTTTGTTGTACAACATTTTATGCTGTTCCTTAATTTTTTTTTTTTTTTGGGGGGTGGGGGGTAATAATTGAGTTTCATCATCATTTTTATGAAATTCTAACATTTGGATCAATTGGAATTAAAGCTCAAGGATTACAAATAGGACCGCCTATGTAATTTATATTCACAAAACTTGTATTCAGATTGTATAATTTTGACGTTTACTTTCTTTCTTGTGGCAATAACTCTAAACATAAATTTTTTAACTGGACTTTCTGTTGCCAACTATGGGAGCACTATGCTCTCCTTTCTTCTGTGTCTAGAGAAGCTCTTTTAAACATCCTGCTTATTAGTCTTAATAGTCTGATGTGAGTGCTATAACTGTAGTGAAATGGCTAAAATTAATCAAAAGGGTTTATCGCTTAAAAAGACATTGTAAGTAAGGTATATGATTATGTGATCCATCAAGCTATGTGTCTGGCTTTTGGATAATCAGTTGCCGGTTTCTTTTAGAGCTTTTGTTTTAAACTCTATTCAAGATCTAATTTTGTTAATTTTTGTTTCCTCATCTCCAGGACGAAGTACAATCTTCTCAGACTAGTACTTGCAGGGAGTTTTGTCATTCCAGTTTGGAGGATAATGCTCATCTACTTTCAACTGAACTGCTTCCTAAAAATACCTCAGCTATTGACGCTAGCAGGTTCCTATTCTATCACCTGATATTCCATGTTTGTGGTCAGATTCTTTTATGGTGACATGATACTAATAATTGCAGAATGTTGATATAATGTTAGTTAAGTCCTAATCAGGAAGTTCTATTCTTGATGAAGTTTTAACAAATCTCTAAATGATTTAGGCTTCAAGACGACCAGTCAACTGAACGGGTGGATAGTATTTGCAGCAAGGAGAATATAGAAAAGCCAATGGTGATCATCTGTTGAATGCTTTAAGAGATTTTCGTTATTGTTTTACCAGTTATTTTATTGGTAGCTGGCAAATTCTTATCATCTTTTATTCCATGCAGCTACCTGATCATACTGAAGTGTCAAAAGCAGAGGGTGAGTGATCCTTGTGGCACTGTTTACATTTGTTCAGTTGGTCTAGATCAGTTAGCATTTAGTAAATTGATTCTGAGATAGAGGCCAAAGTCTGCAACCCCCTCTTTTTTCTTTTAATTAAGTTGGAGATGATGAAAAAGGAAACAAGTTCTCTAGAATTTGTTTTTCCCTGGCGTCATATTAAATATTTTCTTTCATGCAGCACTGATATCAGTTATCATTGATAATTCTTGCAGATATGAAGTCATCATTGAGATATAAGAAAGAAAGCTCTGATAAGGGTGGATTGTCTCCAAATGCTACCGCATATGATCCGCCGAATCCTCCGTCCAAGGGTCAGGAAAAGGCAAGTTCTTCCAATGAGTATTCACAGGGTGCAGTGCCATCCAAACCACAGGGGACAGTAACTTCTCATGCCCGGCCCAGTAGTTCTGTATCTTCAACTTCTGATCGTGGAGGTGCCACATCAACTGCTGGTCGTGGATTATCACCAAGTTCATCTGTGGGATCATTGTCCTCAGAGAAGTCAACATTGAATCCATATGCTAAGGTGGAATGACACAGTTGCTATATTTTCTTTATTCAATAATGGCTGTTGCAATTAAACTGATCCCCTTCCCCCCACTGAGCCACAAACACGGGATTATTTTGGACATGCTTTGCTTTACTCAATTTAAATTCTCTCCCGTTATATTTCTGCCATGTGGCTGATATATTTTGCTGCATCTTTTACTGCTCTTGATTATTCCTCAGGAATTTAAATTAAATCCCAATGCAAAGAGCTTCATGCCATCTCAGGCACCTTTAAGACCTGCTTCTCCTGTTGCTGCTGATGGTTCCTTCTACTATCAAGCTAACATGGGTGCTGTATCACAGATGCACGGCATGCCTGTTAGTATTGGGGTGAGTGAATAGTTTTTAACTGCTACGAGGTTTATTATTCTTATACTATGCATATATGGCAATTGATTACCATCTGACAAACATGACATAATTTCTCTGTAAATTAAACTCGCCTTAATTGCTAAATCTGCAAGGTGATATATGATTTCTCTGTAAATTAAACTCGCCTTAATTGCTAAATCTGCAAGGTGATATATGATTTCTCTGTAAATTAAACTCGCCTTAATTGCTAAATCTGCAAGGTGATATATGATTTCTCTGTAAATTAAACTCGCCTTAATTGCTAAAACTGCAAAGTGATATATGTACACATTTTGCTGTTTTATCGATGCCACCTCTGTTTATTTGAAAATGAGTTGACTAGTGTTAATGTTCCAGAGAATTTACTTTCACAAATTCATTTTTTTACTTTATTTGCATAGCAAATATCGTACTCGTGCATCTGTCAAATGAAAAACAGGTGTTTGATTTTCTCGCCATAATCTAATTGATACTGTATGAATAATGATTTTGATTCATGGTTAGGCAACTGATCAATTTTTTTCTTTCCTGCTTCCAACACACCGTGCTTTGCAAGAGAGCTGTAGATATTGGGGTTGAAAGTTTTACTATGTTTGATGAAGATTAGTTTTTGTATGGTACGATATCCATTACAAAATTGCGCATACATTCTTTCTTATACAAACTCTGCATAAAGTAATTTGTATTATTTGTTTAAATAGAAATCTGTCTAGACAATTCCGCAATCTAGGAGGATAAGCAGCCTCTCTAATCCTCTTATTTTTTAAGTAGGATTTTGTCATATATATCTGTATTTAATATTCCTGGAATGGAAAAAAATGATGCAAAATTATGTTGTTCATCATATTTTGTTATGGACTACTTTTCATTTTTAGTTTTACAACTGGTATCTTATCCAATATCAGATTGGACCCTCATTTTCTGCCCAACAGCCCATTATGTTCAATCCACAGGCTACACAGATGCCACAGCCATATTTTCATCCAAATGGACCTCAGGTTTGTTGACATTTTATGGAATTAATGGCTCTGCATAAATTTTTCTACCCTTTTTGGGGTCTAATTATGTAGATGTTCTACTTATATATTTAATACAGTACGGGCAGCAGATGATAATTGGTCAGCCTCGGCAATTCTTGTACATGCCAACATATCCCCCAGTAAGTTAAATTGCGTTACTGTCTCTTTTCTTACTACTGTTGTTTGTTTCAGAGTGGTGCTTTATCTTTGTATTATCATAAGAATGCTGACACAATAATGTGGGACACATCCTGTTTTATCTTTCATTGTTCTTTCTGCTGCTAGCATTACTATTGCTTTATGGCACAAGTACACAATTCTATTATTTGTGAGGATCGTGTAACCATTTTAACATTTAAGAGAAAACATTGCAGAAATAAAATATGCTCATGAAAAAAATGCCTGTTTAGCATATGATAACATCTTTATTAGCGGTCATCCGATCTCTGTTCAATTCGGAGATCCTATGTTATTTGACTTAATACTGTACTAACATGGTTTTTGGTATTATATTTTTTGCCCATTATCTGCAAAGAAAGGGCATAAAAACTCAAAAAACAAGCACTTAAGTGCATGTTTCTGGTTAAACAAACTTTTTATCCATACATTCTATGGACCCATAACTTATTATTCACTTTTTATACTCACATTCCTGACAACCCGCAACTTAAATTTTAATTTAAACACTCCCTAACAAGAACTAAAACGCAGTGCTTTTTTTTTGAGCTTATCAGCTAGAAAAACAATATATCGAGAAAATATAAGTGAGATCTATCTATGTTTATTTATTTATTTATTTTTTTCGCAAAATATCAATATAACCTTAATGGGTTTTTAGGCTCCACCAGGGGATCTTGATGGGGGTTTGGTTACCCCAACAGTATGTTATCATTTTCAAAAAATGAGAACTATATATTAGAACATTGCCAGAGATGATCCATTGAGTGGGTCGTAGCCTTGCCTTGAAGCAAGATAAGACAAACTGATTGTGCTTCAGCCACTATGCATATTGTAGAAAATTGGACCCTTCCACAATCATTGCCAAAGCTGGCGAATACCTTTTCCTATCACCATCTACCTCAGCAGTTTGCGGAACTATTTTAAGTTAATTCAGTATGCTGATGGTTTAAAATCAAATTATATATATCCACTGTTTATTAATAAATTTATTTTTGCAGGAAATGCCGTACAAAGGAAGAGACTTTTAGACTGTTTGGCAAACTCTATTTTCAGCAGTTCTGCCATCATTGATAGGAATTAAATTTGTGACGGGGAACTGCTTGGAAACAATTTCTAGAAGAGCCGAGCAGCTGATAAATATCAAAGGGATCTGGGAACTGTTTTGCACACAGATACAATTTGGCAATGGTAACACACTCTTATAAGCTGGTGCATTGTCCTTGTTCCGCTTAATGTTCTAACATAGAATACTATTTTTATTTCTCTCGTTTATGGCGTCCTTTGTTTAAAGCAGTTTAAGATTTGTGGAACTATAGTGTTAATCCACCAAAAAAGAAAAAAAAAAAAAAAGGATTTTTGGAGTTATGTGGTGATTAAAGTTTTATTTTGGATTGTAAGTTAAATATCTCGAGGCACTTGTGACTTGTAGTCAAGTGGTGTTCATTACATTCATGTGTTCATTATCTATTTTTGGTTTCATAGTTACTTGAAAATCTTTCATCTCGTTTTTTATGAAAGCATCTAATGATTCTAATTGGTTTGATCTTCGTCCCCAAATCGTTTTTTATTATGTTGTCGTCCAGTTGTATCCTATTTGAGTTGTTTTCCATTTGTTGGGAGCGTTTATTGATATTGTACTTCCTCCCGTTATATCTGTATCTTTTTCTCTAAATTTGTTGACATTGGTTACTGAATTGCTAGATATACAAAATTAAGGCCCTGTTCTCTTTACCATTTTCGGGCCGTTTTCTGTTTTCGATTTTTCAAAACGGTGAAAACGTGTTCTCTTTCCCGTTTTCGAAAACGATTAAATAATAATGTTGAATATCACTTAAATTAATTTTAGCTTATGATTTAGTGACACTCGAAACATTAAGGAATCGGGCCGTCATAGTTGGTATTAGAGTGGGTTTACTTTCCAATAGTCTCAGATAAAAAATAAAAATTATTATTATTATTATTATTTTTATATATATATATATATATATATATTTTTTTTTTTTTTTGAGGTAATCTTGTGGTGATTCTCAAAATTTCAAAAAAAAAAAAAAAATTTCATTTTTTTTGTTTTGAGAAACAAACAAAAAGAACGCATTTTCAACAATTTCAAAACGAACACTCAAAACACAAAATTCAAAATGAATTTAAAACTCAAAACACAAAACTGAAACACAAAGAGAACACCCCTTAAGTGTCTAAAATTTGAGCCTTGATCTTAGACTTCAAAAAACGTTGTCATCACACTTTTCTACCCAAAAATATCTAAATTTTCCTATTTTTAATTCTCATCTTCAATAGTAGGAAAATATGAGCATTGATTAGGTAAAATACTTATGGGTTATCAAATTATGCAGGAAGTATACCCATTATCAAATAATTTTGGACTGTATTCGGATAATTGTGGGCTTGTTCAGTAGTGATTTTGAGAATTGATTTTTTGATCGTTTGAGAGAAGTCAATTCTACATGTTAGAGAAGAAGTAAAAAATGACGGTTTGAATAGTGAACGAACAATTAAAAATTGATTTTTTGGGGTGAAAAATTGCTTTCAAATATGCATTGAACTCGGATTGGATAGGATTGATGGGTGGGGTAAGTGGTGAGATTGTCGTGAGAGCAGACAGAAATTTGCAAATTTTGTTGCTTATGTTCCATGAAATCCTCCAACATTGATGGTTTGTTTGAGCCACATTATTCAAAAAAAAATGTATTTTTAAACAGTGATTTGATATCATTTCATTCACATTCTTTAATAAAATAATATTAAACGCAAATCAAAATTTTTTTCTTATTTTTTAATCACACATTTCTCATCAATACACTATTCAAAAATGCATTATTATCAAAATAATGTGGCTCAAACACCCGGGAAACGTGAAATACACTTCGTATTCCACAAGCCATTTCCTATTAGGAATGAGGTTGTGTTATGATATCAAATTGATGTGGTTAGAAATGACAAGAATGACGAGCAAAATCAAATATTTGTTGATTCTTACAAATAACACCGGATATTTGACAATCAAGGTTTGTTTCTTCGTACACGAGTATCAAAAATTGAAATTCGAAAGCCTCCAAACCAAGTCAGCGGCTGCCATTTTAAAGAACACCTATTGTATAGTCTAAACAAATTGCAATATGAGTCCTTCGTCTTCTATCAAATAGCTAAATAGTCCTTTCACTCTTAATTAAATAAAATGGCTATTTAAATGAACATGAAAAGCAAACCGCTTAGATTATGTTCCATCTTCACATAAAAATAAAAAATAAAAAAGAAAAGGAAAAATCACTGTAACTT